AAAAAAAAATAAGACTATAATTTACCATGTACAGTCACTGAGTGGAGCTCTCAGATAATACACTATTGAAACTAAAATATTTCATTGCAAAATAAAGCAATTATGCAAGAGGGCATTACGTATCTACTTCGAAGATTAACAGTAAAATAAAAACTCATATACTTATCACTCACATTATGAACAAAAACACTAATTTTTCATAAGATTAAAGAACTTTTTCACATTTCAGAGATTTTTTGGGGGGAGAGAGGTTTTCCCTATAGGGCATGTGTACTCACCAAAGAGACAGAGACAGACAGAGAAATAGAAAGCAAGAAATTACCCCCCCCGGGGGGGGGCATGGCCAGGCGGCAATCCCTTCTCCATTCTCCTCGTGGGATCTTGGGGCACGCACGCACACCGAGTGAGCTTAAGTCACTGGGTCCAGGACTCAAACCGTGGTCGACTACACGGGAGTCCAGTGGTATAATCATGATGCTACCTGCTGGCCCCATCACATTTCAGAGAATTTTAAAATAAAAAAATTGAGGCTGGGCCATGACATGGTAGCTAGGGTGATTCCACACATGGCTGACCTCACGGTTCAAGTCCTGAACCCAGAGGCTTGAAAAATACACCTGGTAGACGTGGCATGTGTGCCCAAAACCTTGAAGGGAGAGAACGATGGAGGTGAAGGGATACAGTGGACCATGCTTTGTTGCTTGCTCTTTCTCTTTCACACCAGAGCAAGTGCTTTCTGGTAAATGAAATAAAGACATAAATAAAAAATAATAATTTCTTTTTCCTTTTTTTAAAAAATGTCTTTGCCACAGGGCATGTGCACTTGTAAGAAAGAGACAGAGAGAGACGGGGGGGCGGAGAAGGGGGTGATAAACCAGCCCCCTAGAGGGATAGCCATACTGCAATGCCTTTTCCTCCATTCCATGCATGGGATTTCAATCCAGTGTGATTTTCAAGCTGCCAGGTCTGCTCAAACCATGGCTGGCCATGTGGGAGTCCAGTGCCTTAACTACCATGCCATCTGCTGGTCCCAATAATAATATTTTAAAATTAACAAGAAGTTACTTTCCTCCTTTGGGCAACAGAGGGGAAGAGAGACAAGAAAAGCAAGAGAGAGAGTAGGTATTAGAGATAGACATTTTGACAAGTTCTTGCTTTGTTGAAACACTCCTGCCCCAGCCTCCCAGTTGGCTAGGATTACAGTTACATACAGCTGCACTGGTGTGTCTGGGTTGACCAAGGAACCAGACCTGGGCCTCCCGTGTGGATGCCAGCCTTCCAAGTGGTGGCACAATCTGTGCACCACGGCTACTGGACTGACAGCTTTTCACTTTTGAATTAAATGATGCTGGAACTTTGTTACTGAACATATATATATTTTCCATCAGATACATAACATGTCGACATCATAACAAGGTGTG